TTGAAAACATCAGTGCTGGTCTGCTCAGGTGCAATTCAGCAGTGACAACAGCAGAGCAGCCTCCTGCAGCCTACTGACTGTACGTGTTCCACTAACAGACCTTTCGTTCCATATTTCACACATTTTTAAAATATGCAGCATTAATTATTTACCTACCATTTCTTCCAAAAAGGATCTTGAGGCTGATAAGCTGCAGATTTAGTATTTTTAAATCCCTGAAGTAGCAAACTTTTTTTTTCTTTATGAACTACATGTTCTAACCATTCTCTCCTTTGAGGTTTTTCTTTTTTTTTTTTTCAGCTCTATAAAGGATAAACTTGTCAAGGCAGCTGATCATTTCTCAGGGCCGGAACAGACTAAAATAACTAATTCATCAAGCCAGAATTTTCACTTTTATGTACTCTTCAGTTTTTTTTTTTTTGTTTTTTTGACATTTTGGAACAAGTCTGTGTTCCCTCCAACGTAACTGCTTTGCTCTTTCTTAAGTTTAGAAGTAGTTACATTTGAGACTGGCATTATTATTTTAGAATGTCAAAAGCAGCTATAAGCACCTCAACAAAGAAAGGAGAATATGCAGTTGGCATGATTTACTCACCACAAAGCCACTTAAAAAATATAAGCGGTTTAAAAAAAATTTTTTGCAGGCAAATGTGTCAATTAAAAGTTTCTTAAAATGTCAAAGAAAGCACGAGAGGATTAAACAGGCAGGCTGCAACACTGGAAGTGCAAGTGGCATACAATAAAGGCTTGAGTGATACAAGTCAAACTTTTAAGGTCAAAAAAAATAGCTTACAAAGTCCTGAGACTCATAGCTGTGCAATGTGAATCCGGCACACCTGAAAGCCCGGGTTACAACAGCCTGCATTTCTATGTTAACAGTATTATACAGGAAGAGGATTTGGCTCTAGATGGATGGATGGACAGGAGCACTCATGCATGCCACTGAGAGGCGTTTTGCCCGGTGAGACCTTTTTTGGCTGGGATCACACTAACCTACAGAGCTTTGGCAAGATCCTATGACTCATTCATGAAGAGTGGGCATCAGGAACCCTGTGGCTTGTTATCACTGCCAGTGCCAGTGGGCAGGAACTTCATGTCCTTAAAAGTACATTGGAGAACACGGCTGTCTCACTCAGTGGGAGGTTGACAGTGTCAGTACAGAATGAGCCCTCCTGCCCATGGAAGTGGCCAAGCATGTGTAGCCACTGCTGGCGATGCTGCAGAGGGGCTGATGGGGGGAACATTTTGGAGCCCTCCATGTGCTGAGATCCAAGGATTCTCTGACTCAGGTCCCAAAACAAGCTCTCAAAACTCTCTCTCTCTCTCTCTCTCTCTCTCTCTCTCTCTATATATATATATATATATATATATAAAATATATATCTCTCTATATTATATTATACATGTTATATATATTATTTATCTCTATATATGATATATTAGAGGTTACATATATATATCTATATATTATATATAGGGATATATAACATATTATATATCTCTTTATAAAATATCACTAATATATATCTATATATACAGATAAATATATATCTATATATAATATATATCTGTATATAATATATATAGATATAATGGTTTGCTCCTTTGTACTTATAAAGTGATGGGTAGAGCAAAAATAAGGCTAAGAGCACTGTCACCTACAATCATGACATTTAGCTTTGGAGGAAATGTGAACTGCATGGAGTCCCAGCTCCCCACCAATAAAGCAGGGAATAAGACTCTTAGGGGCTGGGCTCAGTGGTTCACTCACTCCTGTAATCCAAGCACTTTGAGGCTGAGGCAGGTAGATCATTTGAGGTTAGGAGTTTGAGACCAGCCTGACCAACATGGTGAAATCTCATCTCTACTGAAAAAAAAAAAAAAAAATAGCTGGTCATGGTGGTGGGTGCTTGTAGTCCCAGCTACTCAGGAGGCTGAGGCAGGAGAATCACTTGAACCCAGGAGGTGAAGGTTGCAGTGAGCCAAGATCGTGCCATTGCACTCCAGCCTGGGTGACAGAGTGGAACACTCATCTCAAAAAACAAGTCTTAAAAGCTCCAAAGCTTTCATGCAGCTTAGCTTAAAGTTGTAATGAAACACACAACTTCAGGTTGATGTAACTTAATGAGAAATTTGGGAACAAAAGTGGTTGACACAAGTAATTTTGAGCATGGAAAGCAATGGGGGTGGCCATGATCCTTGTTTACACACCAGTTTCCACAAACTGCAGCTAACCAAGCAAGTACTTATTCTGTATTATCATCATAAAATCAAGGTTCTAGATAGAGTTTTTTACTTAATAAGTCCATTAATAGGGCAAAGGCTATACTGTACTATTTGGAGGTTTGTTTTTGTTGTAGTCCTCTTACAAGGCCCATTGAGTTACTGCTTGGGCACTATTGAGTGTTACAGGAAATCCCAGTGGTGGGAATGCTTGTTGTAGAATGTGAACTCGTGGTTATAGAAAGTTGACTCTGCCCACCAACTCTGTGATAATGAACCACAGATTGCCATATCACTGACTGTGATATAATAACTGATAGAATCAGGATGGACATCTCTGCTTCCTCTCTTTAAGCTAGAGGACAAGTAATCCTAGAGGACACTTGCATTTCAGGGACATACCTGAAAGCCTTGTTTTATAAGACAATCATCCTAACAGATTAATTTTAAAATGTAATACAAATCTTGTTTTCAAGAAGAACTGTCTTCTGTAATTTTGTTAGGGAGCCATCAGATCTCTGGTCTTTTAGTGGTTTCCCATAATGCCCCAGGGATGTCAACCAAACACTGCCTATGGCCTCCACAGCTCCACCTACCAGTGTGGGCTTACCTCAAGCCCTCACACTATGCCTCTACCAGACCCAGACATCCCTCAGCCCCACAGAAGAGCCTTGCTCACTGGGGATTTCAGGCCTGGGTCAGCTGGGCAGGTGACTGGAATGTCAAAGGGCATCACTCCTGCTCTCCAAGAATGAACCTGAGGTGGAGAAACCTATTGTTCTTGGAGCTGCCTGAGGCAGGGGAGGGAGGTAAGACCCCAAGGGGCATGCTGGACCCAAGGCCACTGGATTGTCTTTTTGGGAGGACTCTGGTGAGCTGAGACAGGTAGTGGGTTTGAAGCCAAGGCTGAAGTGCTCAGAGACACAGAGAATGAGACCAGTTACTGCATGAATAACTGTGTGAGACACATGCATGAGAAACAGCCGCCTGGGCCCGGTCTACCTCCAGACTATGAGGATAAGTGGAAAATGGCGGCTCTTTTAAGGCACCCAGTTTGGGAATGATTTGCTATGTGGCAATGCTGAGCTCCATGAGGCTGGGAACTTTGTCAGTCTTGCTCTCTATGTGTGTATCCCCAGGGCCAAGAACGCTGCCTGGTCCAGAGCAGATGCTTAACCAATATTTGTTGAAAGAGTGAATGAATGTATGAATGAAGAGATGAATGAATGGAGAAAAGACTCACTACGGCCAGCAGCAACCCCCACTGACTGCCCCCAGCCAGCATGCTGCCTCTCCTCTGTGCCTCCACTTTCGCACCTTGCTGACTGCTGACCATGCCCTGGACCCCAGCTCAAAGATCGCTTTCTCAGAGAGGCTGCCTTTCGACTCACCCACCTCGTTTAGCAGCCTGCCTCACTCCCAAGTCATCCTGTATCTCTTCCCCATGGCACTTCTCAGGACTATCATTATGTAATCAAATGACCACAGTGAAATTCCTGGCTGGCTGGCTGTCTCCTGTGACTGACCCTAAGCCACATGACCGTAGGGAAAGTGTCTGTTTGCATAGAGCTGACTGACCGCCTGTCAGAATATTTCTGAAAACTGGCAAAATACAGTCATTCTCATGATTAGAAAGTGCCAATTCGTAGAGAGCTCTCTTTTAATAATAAGCTGGAATTGACCTCTAACTGCTAGCGTCTCCTCCACCAAGCTTTCCAAATCCACTACACCCAGGTCATCCTTGCCACGCAGACTCTAGGCGACCCAAAAGGTTAAGTGTGTCCAGGTTTACTCAGTCAGTCGGGGGAAGAACTAGAGTCGGAAGCCAGCTCTCCTGACTTTCCAGTTCAATGCTATTTCCATCACACCACACCGACTCCCGAATGTTTCCACTGACATTAAATGTTCTGAAACCATCATAATCTCTCTATCCAAATAACAACAGCAAAGCTGTGTACTTTTCACAGGAGAATGCGTGGAACAGGTCAAGCTTAACATGTAACACAATGTCCATATATAACAAGAGCTCATGGTGATATTTTAGGGAACTTCCTGCCAAATACCTAAGAGATGAGCCCCTGAGCAAATATCTAATTTCGATTTTAATTTGGTTCTTGTCTACTGGATAATCCTTGTGCCAATTCTCTGCAGGTGTTTCTTCTGCCTTCGTTTCTTTTCTATGACTTATCATTCCCAGGATCTTTGAAGATCAAGGAAATAAATAAACTAAAATCAAAACCACTCCAGGTGATCTGCAACAGCTCAACAGGACAGCAACCCTGAACAACGGAGCTTTTGGAGAGAATGCAATGACCAGAGAAAACGTCCCTGACCTAATGTGAAAGGAAAAAAGGATACAGAACCAGGCATGGCGTGATTCTGTTTTTCAATATGTATAGTTATGTATATGTTTGGAAAAATAGGATGGAAAGAAATACACATTTAAAAATGAGCTGGTGGCCAGGCGTGGCGGCTCATGCCTGTAATCACAGCACTTTGGGAGGGCAAGGCAGGTGGATCACCTGAGGTCAGGAGTTTGAGACCAGCCTGGCCAACATAGTGAAACGCTGTCCCTACTAAAAGTACAAAAATTAGCCAGGTGTGGTGGCAGGCATCTATAATTACAGCTATTTGGGAAGCTGAGGCAGGAGAATTGCTTGAACCCAGGGGGCAGAGGATGCAGTAAGCCAAGATTGCTTTACTCTAGCCTGCATGAAAGTGTGAAACTGTCTCAAAAAAAAAAAAAAAAAAAAAAAAGGTGTTGGTGGTATTTCTTACCTTTTAGATTGGCCAAAAAAACTCACCTCTCGCCTCTCATGAATGTTAGTTGATCTCAGGAGGATGAGATCTCTCATATACTGCTGGTGAGAGGGTTAATTAGAATGGTATCCGTGAAGGAGAAATGGTGGTCTCCACCAAAACAATAAACATGCACATCTTTCGCCCCAAGAATTTGTATTCCAGTTTTCCATCCTACAAAAATGTTACCACCTATGTACAAAGCAGCACTAGGAGTCATTATGCAAATGTGAAAATAACTGAAATGTTCATCCATAGGGAAACAGTTGGAAAATCAGAGTTTGTCCAAACGATGGAACACGATTCAGCCTTAAAAAAAGAAAGAAGTGGGCTTAGGTGAGGATGGACAAACTTCCAAGAAATATTGCCAAGTTAAAAACAAAAGACAAAAAGCAAAAGTAGCAGCATAATAGATATAGTGTAATCTCACTTAGGTAAAACCAACTTTGCTTATCTCAACATATATATGTAAATTTTTGGAAAACATAAATTTACAGAAAAAGGTCTAGCAGGAGATGGGTGCCCAAATGAACAGTGTCCCCTCTATTGTGAAGTAGGAAGAACTTTCAATATTTACTCATATGTTTTAATGCTTTGATTTTATAGTATGTTGTGTGTGAATAACAACAACAAAAAAGGTTAGTAATGACAGAGGACACGTTACATTGTTAAGTCAAAAAGACAAGCTACAACATAGCATGTACAGATTTGGCTGAATGGCTCGAAGCAGGGATGGGAGCATGACTTCTTATTGTATACTTTAGAATTTGAACCTGTGCTATTTAAAAAAATGAATTTAAATAATTGCTATTTGTAAAAGTAACAATTTTTAGAAAAAGACAAGGAAAAACATTGGAAAGAGAATATATATCTTAAATATTATGAGTGGTTAGAGCTGCAACGACAAGTAATCTAAATTTTCTTTAAAACAAACAAATTACAAGACAGAAGATTGGCTCACCACTCCTTAAGTAAGTAGGTGGTGGAATCCCGGTAGGCTTATTTTCTCACATATATTTCTGCATTTTCTAAATTTTCTTAAACTTGTATTACTTTTAAAAACCAGAAAAAATGAATGCTGTAAAACATTATTTAAATTATTTTTAAACAATGCAGTTAAGCAGTATCTCACAAGGCAGGCACATGATAAATTATAGAGACCAGTGGTTTTGAAACAGTATCATCTTTTAAAACTCATCACAACTTGGAACCTGATGTGGAATTCAGGTAGCAGTGGAAGTACTTAGGTGGCCTGGGAGGGGCCTAGTGCCTCACTTAGCAGCAGCCCCATCCACCTGCGGAACCCACGGTTCCAGGAACATCCTTAGGAAATGCACTGTCCAGACAGACAAAGGCTACGGGGACCTGAGGAGTAGGGGGCTCTTTGTGCTGGAACGATCAGAGAGAGGGCTGCATGACAGAGGCAGAAACTGTGCTAAACTAAAAGGCAGGGAGGATGTCAGTGGGTGTGCCTGATGTGAGGATAAATGGTACAGAGGCAGGCTGCAAAGCCCACCCCCATGCCACTGTATTGTGGGTGACAGCCCTTATGCAGTGACTCATCAGTGAACAGGGTGGAGGAGGGCTGGAGCCAGACTAGGTTCACGTAGGAGTAGGGAGCCACTGAAAGTTTCTCGGTAATCGCCTGACTGGATGTAGGTGGTATTCTTGAAATGTTACTCTCAAGCTGCTGATAGATACAGCCTGCATATCACCCCACCTCTGAGTTACAGCAGGAAGACACTCTCTCCAACCCCCTGGGTCCTGACATCTGGGGCGTTGCGGCTCATCGTCATACAACTGGTGGGTTTTGCCAAGATTGTGCTGTGTTCAGTAGACCAGGCCAGGCAGGTTCCAGTCCTCCTACACTGCTATCCTAGAAGACGCCATCATTCCAGGGGCAGTGGGGCTGGGGTTCCCCAAGTCACAGCTCACGGTCCATCCCTGGCCTTTTAGTCCACTACCTAATAGCTTGCGCAAGGTATTTAATATCTCTGAGCTGCGGTGTTCTCACCTGCAAATGGTGATTCATTCATTTATTCAGATATTTACTGAGCAACTGCTCTATGCCAAGGATAGTTACAGAGCTGGGGATTTGTAGTGACCAAACCAGTCCCAAATTCCTGCCCTCATGGAGCTTCTATTCTAGTGGAGTGTAATATTGCTGCCTGCCTCAGGGGTCATGGAGGGGATTAGATAAGTCCATCCTGGAAAACACAAGACAGTCGTGATTTCCTCCTCCCCATTATTATTTGCATTCCCTACAACACTTTGACCAAGAAGGCACCCAATAAACAGCATCAAACTATTTAGTCTCTGTCTACAAATTCAGATGAGCCCACCTTGAAGAAAAGTGGCGTTCATTCGGCCCTTGGCTTAGACTAGCATGATTCTTCAGCTCTCTGTACCTCTGTATCCCATTCTCCAGCACTGCCCCGTCCACCTTACTAAACAGGGCTGGGAAGGAGAACGAAGAAAACCACCCTTGGAACCATTCATCACAATGAAGGCAGCTGACAGCTTTGATAAACTCTGGCTCAGCCCTCATTTCCTTAGAGAAAGAAAGCACAGGGCTATCAGAACCCTTACCTTCTCAGGCAGTGCTGAAAGTTACTTTTTCAGGCCAGGATGTCCTGCCATGTATAGGACATGAACACCTGATGGACTGCATGCCTGCCTCCAGCGGCCCCATGTATAGGACATGAACACCTGATGGACTGCATGCCTGCCTCCAGCGGCCCCACGGGGAGAACTCAGCCCCTCCAATCAGGCCAGTCTGTGGCAAGGTGAGCCCTCATCTGGTGGATTTCAGGGTTGAGTGTTTGTTTCAATGTGTCCCTGAGGGCATGTATGAGTCTGGGGGCAGGTGAGTAACAAGCACAACCAGTACATATTCCAAGTGAGTGTGGCCAGAAGCATTGGTATAAGTTCAAGGGAGAAAAAACCTGCAAGCCAACTTTAGAACCTCATCCTTAGGGCTCCAAGAAAGTGCTCCACCAAAAATCTCCCTGGCAAGTATCTTGATATGTAATGACAGCTTCAGCTTTCTTCACCAACTACATGCTGGAGTTCTGGTGCCAGCCTCTATTTTTATAGCCTGAGTAATGCCCGGGCAAAGGACCAGTCAAAAATCAGACACAGAGGGACGGGGCACAAGAGGTGACGGCACAAGCGATGGGGCCCCTTTCCTACTCAGCCTCCACAGCAGATCCTTCAGAGCAGAATCTGGGACAGCAGCCAAGCCCTCCTCAGATTCTGGCCCAAACTCCTCTGCAGACTCATCCCCTCTCACAGCCAGCCCATGAGTTCCATGAGGGCTGGTCCTTTTCTGTCTGCAAGCCCCTGTAAGGCCAGGCTCCATGGCACAGCAGGGTTGGATGAGTGAATGGCCACACCATCCCACCTGACTCAGGCACAGTCGACTACTTGCTGTTCCCCCTTTTAATAACTCAATGTCTGTGCCCGTTCCACTCTCTTGGCCCAGATGCCTTCTTGACCTGGTTAACTCCTGCTTTTCCTTAAACTCAGCTAAAGCACCACCTTCCCCTGGAAACCTTCCCTGACCCCAAGGCAGGATGATGTCCTCCAATACTGGGCAACCACAACCACCAGGGCCTACCCCTCCCGCTCTACTCATCAACATGACAGGCTCCCGTCAGCTTCCTTGCCCACCTTCCACGGTGCTGGTGGATAGACACCAGAGCAAGCAGCAGGTGCTCAATAGGTGTTAGCGGGAGGGAGGGCGGGTGGGAAAAAGGAAGATAAGCACCAGGAAGAATGCTGTGGATGGAGCAGCCCCATTGCAGAAACCTACAAGGAACTGAACAAGAATAAAGCACTACACCCCAGTGGATCAATAGACCCCTCGTCAATGAATACTGAGAAAAACTAGCAGGAAGCGGTGGGAAAACACATCTTAATGAATTAGAGGGGAATCAGGTCACTCTTTGCTGTGTCCTCTCCTCCCCTGCAGGTGTGGGCTGGGCAGGGGCTGGAGAGCAAGAGAAGCTGTGGAAGGTTGGGTGGGCAGGGGCACTTGAAAAAAAGAAGCTCTCATAGGCTCCTCTGGCCTTGGGGGACTGAAGACCATTTCCTCTGGGGTAACCTCCAACTGCTGATGTGAATCATGTAGGACACATTCCCACAAAGCTGTTAAGAACATGCCCTGTGTCAAGACAGGGGGATAATAAGGGCTTCCCACTGTCCTACTGAGTCATCTGGCCCAGTTCCTAAAGGTAGTGACTGAAGCAGGGATTTAGAACAGATGATCTCCTGGGAATGAAGAGACTTTTGGCTGGAGTCTTCTTAGCACAGCATTTCCTTCTAAAGAAAACACCCCCATTTGCCCCTTAATATCCACTCATTCCTCCTTGTAAGAGAATCCTGATTTCTGCAGGGTAGAGGGAGCGGACAGTGTAGCAGAGACTGCCAGCTAATTGTGATACACCCATCTTCTCTCCCTCGTGGGCACGTGGCAGGACCACATTTCCTCCCCTCGGAGGGCATGGTCATGTGACTAAGCCCTGGCCAGTGAAATGTCAGGGCCAGTAATTCACCACCTCTGAGCCTGGACCACAAAATCTTCCCACACACCATCCTCCAGGTTCCTTCCTCTTCAGCTGACTGAGGCAAATGAGCATGGCAGCCTTGAGAGCCTGAGTCCCTGAATCTCCTCTTGGAGGAGAGCCCCTCGCCAATCAGAAACAGCCATTTTGGACTACGTGTGAACAAGAGGTTGAATGCCTACCATATTTGAACCATTAAACATAATTGGTTTGTTTGAGCAGTGAGCCTTCCTCAGTGCCCCCTGCCACACACTCACATGGCCTGTTTAACTGGGGGTATCCCATGTGATACCGTTCTGGCCAAGAAATAAGGGGAAGTCTGCTGGTGTTTTCGCCGTCATGAAGGAAAGGCCAAGAGAGTAACACAAGTGTCAGTCCAGACAGATGTCAGCTGCTGAAACCAACACCAGCAGAATCGCCTATCTTCATGCATTTTCTTACTTGAGAAAAACAAATCCGTATGTGCTGAAGCCACTGAGGCAGGGCTTTCTGTTACTTTCAGCCAGACACATTCATAATTGATATGTTTTGCAACCACTCATCATTCATTCAGCCGACTTTTACTGAGGCCTGTTTCATGTCAGTCCTTGTGCTAAAGGCTAACGCTTTAGAGATGAGCTGGGGTATGGTCCCTTCTTTCCAGGGACTTCCTATCAAGCTGGAAGACAGGCCCATGAGCAGACAATCAGCGCACACTGGGAACAGATGCTGTGATGATGCAGGATGATGTTCCAGGGCAGTGTGAGCGCCGGGCAGGGGGCCGGCACCGAGGTGAGGAGTTCCCATCTCCTCTTCTGGCATTCGGCACACGGGGTAAATAAACACTTCTCAAGCTAAACAACAAGTAAAAAGAACACACGATCCTCAGCCAAGCCAACTGCGATTACTAACTGTAAGTAGAGTCGTTAAACACCATCAATTAATGCAGCTGTTTCAAGATCATCAGCAGTCATTAGAGCAAGATGCACAAGAGGGGAAAAAAAAATCACACACTGCGAACTTAGCAATGCTAGAAATTATGTGAACAGAGGATGAGACAGGCTTGCTTAGATCTTCCTGCCTGCTGACGTTAGCCACCTCCCAAAATATACTTTCCTTCTCAAAGAACACAGTGATTTTTCACTTTGAAGACAGAGCCAAAAAAATCAACCATCCATGCCATGACCTTCGACGGTAAATGCCCAAGCTTTGATTTTTCAGGTCTGTGTTTCCATTAGGAACTGCGATGGAGACAGACAAATTGGCGACAAAAGAGGTTCCAGTCTCGGAAATCAAGAGATGATCACGACCAGAGAAGTCGGAGCACCTGGGGAACCATTTGTAAAACAAATAAATGGTTTTCCACCTTTCACTTTAATTCTCCCTACATACAAAAGATTGGCATGGTTTGCTATTTCTTTGTTTTCTAAGTGTGGGGCAGGTTTTTTTTTTTTTAAAGACAAAACTTTATTTAAAATTCCAGAACACAGGTCTACCCTTGAACAACATGGATTTGAACTGGGCAAGTCCACTTACAGGTAGATTCTCTTCCGCCTCTGCCACCCCTGAGACAGCAAGACCCTACTGTGAAGACAGTGAGGAAGAAACCTTTGTGATGATCCCCTTCCACTTAATGAATAGTAAATGTTTTCTCTTACTTATGATTTTCTTAATAACATTTTCTTTTCTCCAGCTTATTGTGAGAATATAGCATATAATACATACAACATACAAAATATGTGTTAACTGACTACATTATCAGTAAGGCTTCTGGCTAACAGTAGGTTATGTACGGTTACGATGTTGGGGATTTAAAAGGTATACTCGGATTTTCAACTGTGGGGGGCCAGGGCGGCAGAGGGGGCATCAGTGCTCCTAACCCCTGAGTTGTTCAAGGGTCAACTGTAGTTTAAAATACGTAAAAAATAAGCTGGCTGCCCACTAGGATAACTGATGACCGGTTTTCCAGTCCGACTGCTGACTTACTGGTATGCAGTATTCCAGTGCATAGAGAGTACAAGCTGGGCTAATCACACTCAAATGAGGCAGGGAAGCTCTCGAGTTCCTGAGGCAGCAATCACAGAAGGGTTTTCTGGTCGAAAGCCCATTGCTGGAGGCCGTGCCAGCTCTGTGATGGCAGGTGCTAGTCGGGCAGGCTGCCATGCTGGAGCCTCTCTGGCGGATGCACGGAGCAAGCAAGGCGAGGTCTGAGGAGGAAGGACCTCTCTTTCCAGCACCAGTTGGGAAACCCATGCCCGTCAATGCAGTTTCTTCGGGTCAAGAAATTTCCAGCTACAGCAGACATAGGAAATGTGGTGTTCTGGCTTCCTGCCTCTGGCTAGTCCCCTACCTGCTCTCAGGAGCAGCTGTGCCATTTCTTGCTGAGAGAACTGGGTCTCTGATAGTACCAAGGCTTCTGGGGCTGCTGAAGAGCCATTCCAAAATGGTAGCCAGGGCAGCATTCCGTCAACCAGGACCAAAAACAGTGCTGGCAAACCAGGTGACTAAACAGATATAGGGTCCCTTATCATGCTTCCCACCAACAACCTGCGGCCAGGAGTGACAGTTAAAACAGCCAGCATGTGTCAGACATAGACCAATCAAAATGACTGCCTGTTTCAAAGAGCTGGCAAGGTCACATGCCACCAGGGTGTACCAGCTGAGGTCAACAGTCCTTCCCCCACCCCATGGTCAGCCCCTTCACAGCCTCATGCCTATAAGTGAGCAAATGCCTGGAAATCGGTCGGCACCACCATTCATGTCCTTCACCATAAACTGAAGTATAATGTCCTCTGTTCCATGAGGACAGAGACTATTATCCCATATCCATCATCTCAGTGCAGTCGGTTGGCGCCTAAAAGGTAATTTTAAGAAACAAATGAATAGGAATAGCAGCTAACATTTTTAAAGCATGTACCATGTGGTAGGTGCTTTTCTAAGCCCTCATCATGTATTATTATATTTCAGTTTCACAACAGTACCATGAAGTAGGTATTATTATCACCACCCAAATTTTACAAATAAGGAAACCAGCCCAGAGAAGTAACTTGCTCAAGGGGATATCACTAGTAATGGTAGATCCAGGGCTTAAAGTCAATTCAGCCTCCGAATGTACACACTCAATCACTGCACAGTGCTGAATACACAACCAAACTCAGGTACTCTAGTATTAGGAAATCATCAACAGAGAACCTCTGACATTCACAAACCCTGAGAAGTCCTTCCAGGTTTCTGGGTGTTATATATACACTGTTTTTGTTTGTTTGTTTGACTTGCAGAAAATTTTAGAGAAAACCAATACCTACTTTTATCCCTAAGAATGGGACCAGGCCTATAATTTTCAAAAAACTGTGTAACCACACTCAGTTATCAAGGAACTGTGGGCAGGAATATCCAGGTTTACACAGTATTTCTCTGCTTAAGAGATCTGAATTCTTCAGGAAGGCTTTTAACCGTCCAAGGTCCCATCTCCCCATCTCTAAGCAGATTGTGGGCTTACTGAATCAAATGAGATCATGGACATAGTTGCTTGCTTATACAGTAAGATACTTTATAAACATAATGCAAGATCCTAATAATTAATGTATTATAATAAAATAACTTGCATTAAAAATTCTATACTTATTAATCTATACTTTTAAAACTTTCTATACTTTCAAGATAGTTCATATCTCTCCATGTTTTAATGATATTTAAGCTTAATAGTTTGTTTCTGTAAATCCTTCCATTATTATTTCTGAGCTTCCAAAAATTTGTGCTATAACTTTACCAACTTTACGGTAATCCAACTGCTACTTTTATTTTAGAGGCATGAAGCATTAACAAGACAGTAAATGTTTAATTCTAACTAAATTCTCCTATATCTGCAGAGGACAAACTTAGCAAGTAAGAGCTTCATTTTATTTTACAGTTAAAAAGCTCAAAATGATACTGCTGTATCTCTGAAGGCCTGAAGGTTGGTGTTGGATCCAAGAATGAGGTAAGCCTAGGAAAGCAAGCTGTGGCTTTGTTGGTTGGAAAGACACACGTCTCTGAATAATTGAGGGGTGGGACAAATAGCATTCAAAACGATGTGTAAATTTAACATAAATGATGACTGTAACCACAAACAGAATTGGAGGAGGAAAGGGGAGAGAGGGAAGGATCAAAACTACGTGCAATAATTTTCATCTTAATATGCTTTTTAATCAATATGCTATTGATTACAGCTCTTTCTAAGGAAGTTGGTCACACCCAGGGGCATAAAGGTTGGCACGCAGGTGACAGAAGGATGCCCTGCAAACTGAAACATGAATGTATAAATTGGGGAAATGACTCTGCAAATACAAACAATTTTAAAGTTACTACTGTCTCTACTACTAGATGTTTGAGTTCCCCCAAACTCTCCTCCACTCTAGAGTACGCAGCACAGTGGGAGGTCCACCGATGGAGGGAGGGGCAGATGCATGCACAGCCGACTTGGCTGAGGGGATGAGATGAAGGCTGCCTCCCACGGGAACTACTCTACAAGCCGCAATCCATTCCATGCCTTTTTAATCACTAACTCCTTCCACACGCCTGAGATTGTTCCTGCCATCACTGGAGATTGAACTTTTTCCAAAACCAGTGGCTTCCCCAGCCGAAGTCCAAGCAGGGTCATTGACTTCCCTAGCCAACGTCCAAGCAGGTTTTGAGGGTGGAGGATAAACAGGCCAGAGTCTGTGGCTCAGTTAGGTGTTAGTTGGCAAGGGCCCGCCTGCCTTTCAGACTCAAGAGTGGATCCTGAAATTCATTCTGGGTTCACAGGTGCCTCCTCATGGCTGCCATGTAGTAACTCCAAGTTGAGAGGCTCCCATGAGCCCACTACCTGCGAGGCTGTGCAGCAGGTTCAAGAAGAGACCCTGGGAGACGCTTCTATTGAAAGTCCCACCATCCTACTAGAAGGCTGTTCCCTCTTCACCTCCTAAGGACAGATGCACACACCTTCCAAGCCACTGCTCCTTCTGTCACTTCCCTAGACTCTCCCCTCAGCACCTCAGGTAAGATGAAGTGGCAGTGGCTACAATCTGAAGCGGCCAGGGGGCTCTGCAAGTGGCACCCTATCTCCCTGGGAGCATCCTCCACTGGTGGGCAAGGATGGGGGGTGTCAAAGGGGACCAGAGCTACAGCTCAGGGCCTATAAATCAAGCTGTGGTCAAGTGGCTCCCCAGGCCAAACCCCAGATCAATCTTGCTCAAGCCATTATTTCCAAAGGGTCACACTCCTCATTCGAAAATTTCAAACAGCTCAGTGCTCTCCTACAAATCTTAGCTGGCTTTCAAGGCCTTCTAAAAACCAGAACAATGGGCCCCGCAAAGGGATTTCAGGTTCCCACGGGGCCATTTTTCCTATCCAAGTGACTTTGCTCCTAACTGGTAACCCCTACACTGGAATGTGGGCACACTTCCTTATCCACCAACTAGGAACCTTGTCCAGGAACAGGTTCCGGGGCCGAAATCTCCCCCTGTGAATTTTCAGGACCTTTAATATTCTCCCATCCTTTCTCCCACCCACCTCTAGATAGTAGTATGTCTCTTTCGCGTTCTCCTCCCTTTCTCTCTCACTCACAGACTGCAGGCATTAATTAAACCTCTTCTAGAAAACAGATTTTCACCAGCTGCAGGAATTCTGGGTAATAGCCAGACCCGAAGACAGAGACAATCTGGGTAAGAAAGATAAGCTTGTGACAGCCAGGGGCAGTGCAGGCTCCCACATCCAAGTGGCAGTCTCAATTTTAGCCCTTTCCAGATTCCTGAAAAAAAGGGGACATGAGGTATTCCTACCCCCTCAGCATTTGGCTGAACTGACTGGGGCTGGCCTTTGACAGAGGCACAAGAGCTGGACCCTGCAGGTAGGTCATAGCCACCTCCGAGAGACCAAAGCACTGGCCCCAAACATTAACCTCCCTCCCACCAATAGAGCTGCAAGCCATAGTGCCAGAAATCTGCAAGAAGAGGCACTCCCAGCCCTTCACAGGAAGCAACACCCACCGGAGTGAGGACGGTGCAACCTGAAGCAGCCAGGGGGGCTCTGCAAGTGGTACTCCGCCTCCCTGGGCACTTCCTCCATCAGTGGGCAGGCATAGGGGATGTTAAAGGGGGCTGGGCTACAGCTCTGGGCTACAGCTCTGTGGTGGACCCAGCTCTCAGCAGACAAACTTGGTAGCTCCCAAAGGTGCCCACCACCACCCACGCCAATTCTTGAATGAAGACAACTGATTTTCTTCATGGAAATCCTGGAGTCCCCACTGAGGTTAAAGACCCACCATCAGAGCCTGACCTGTAGATTGTACTCCCTGCCCGAAACACACACAAAAATGAGTTTGTCTCTAGTGAGATGACACATTTAAAAAAAAAAAAAAAAAAGCTTTTGAATTTAATGGTAACATTTTGAACAGTGTAGCAAAGTGTAGAAAACATTGGTTGTAAACTCAGACTAATTCATGGGGGCATCCATTTCTTTCCTCAAAAACACTGAGTACCCCCATGTGGTAGACAGGGGGAACCAGGCAAGGACCTGGGGCCACAGAGATGGTTCCACCCATCCCTGAAGATGCTCCTGGACAGTGGGGCATCACAGAGCAGTGTAGGGAGGGCCAAGGAGAAGCCCACGGGAATTTCTGGGCACTCAGAGAGACCCTACTGAGCCCCAGCGTGTCCTTGGGCTAATCAC